ATTTTTTCCTGCTGGGACTCATAATGCTGATCTTTAAATTTTTGCTTCTGTATTCCATATCTCTTAATCTTTACATATTTTTTCTATTTATTGTTTCCTAACTCCTTCAAGAGGATTCCTTGATCTGATATTCTAATTCAAGAATTTGTTCAGTGTCTATTCTGTTGTTCAAAGACTATGTAAAGTTCTTTATTGTAGCTTATATAGTGTGTTTTTTTTCTAAGTCAGGTTTACTGAGACGTAATTTGCCCACTCTAAAATTTACCCATGTTGTGTACAGTATTATGAGTTTTGACAAAGCATACAGTTGTGTAATCACCATGGCATCCAAGATACGAAGCACATTCATCCAGTGAAAAAAGTCCCCTTGTGCTTCTTTGTTGTATATCTCTCCGTCCAATCCAAGTGCTGGGCAACCACTGATCTTTGTCCCTGAACTTTTCCCTTTTCAAAAATCACATATAAATAGGGTTATATAGTATGTAGTCTTTGAGCCTGACTTTTTATACTTAGTAGGAGGCAACTGAGATTCATTCATAGTTTTACATATATGAATAGTTCATTTCTTTTCATTGCTAAACAGTATTTCATTGTATGGTTGTAGCATATGTTAACTATTTACCAGTTGGTAGACAATTTGGTTATTTCTAATTTGGGGCTTTTACTAATAGAACTGCTGAGAACATTTGCAAACAAATCTTTGTATGGTCATGTGCTTTCATTTCTCTTGGGGAAATGCCTATAAGTGGAAAGGCTAAACAATTGCTTTTTTCTTTCTTTCTTTTTTTTTTTTTTACAGTATTTATAGTTTTCAAATGTCCTACTTTTTTACCATGGAAACTCAAAAGTGCTCTGGGCTGCATGTATATCTGATGCCTGCGTTGCCAGATACTAAAGCCCTAGTTCCTAGGATCTACCAATTGTGTTTTTTGTTTTGTTTTGTTTTTAACAGAAGAGGCATGTCTCAGAATATAGAAATTCCATAATATCAATCATTTCCTACTTGTCACTTCTTCCCCACCTGAGTGACACTGTTCCTCACCTTTGCCTCCCAGCACCTCTGCTTATGGTACACCATCTTTATCTTTTCCCGTAGCTGTCCCAGTTGTCATCACCATGGAAGGGATCAGGAAAGAGACACATCAGAACTGGTCTGCTGTCCAAACCTATTATTAACTGTTCCCTTCTCCTCAGCCAGTCTGAAGGACCACCTTGATATTATCCTCATAGATACTTCTTTTCACCATCCTTAAATTCTACTCCTTTATATTACCACTTTACTATTCTTATCTCTGGCATTGAAAAACATTGTGAGTGAGAAAGTGTGTCAAATACACACACACACACACACACACACACACACACACACACACACACAGCTGCTTTGGAATGTTGAGCTGTGAAAGGGAGAAGGAAATTAGGGCAGAAATGGGGGCAGGAACTAATTTTTTGCATGCTTTTTAAAGCTAAAAAGGACAAGAGCAAATTGGTATGCTAATGGAGATTGGGAGGTACTGTTTATGCAAGAAAGGGAGATCCTGAAGGATGAAAGTCCTTCCAAAGGGCACAGAAACTAGACCCTAATTCAAATAGGTATCAAAGGATACCTTTGATAAGAAGCTGAAAATGTCTTCCATTGGAACAGGATAAAAAATAATAATAATACAGGAAACGATGTAAAGATATAAGTATGGTGGTAGGTTGATGTTGGGAAATTGAAGACTTTACAATTAATATCTTAAGTTATTTCATAACTAACATCTTTCAGTGAAGAAAAATTTAAGATTATTAACTGAAATTAAAGAGGAACAGTATAATGGGAAAGTGTTTGAAAAAGAAAAAATTGCTCTCAATTCTTCTCCCATTTCCTCTTAAATCCCTTCCATTTAGGCTTTAGCACCCACCGTGCTGCCCAAACCACTTTTGCCAAGTGTCCAGAAGTCCTCTCCCTTGTTGTAACCTCAGCTTTAGTCGATCTAAGCTGACATATCAACAGAATTGGAGACAGTTGATCACTCCGCCCTCTATGCTATGCATTCCTCTGGTGTCCTGCAGGACACCGTATTCTCTCAATTTTTCTCCTACCTCACTTGTCATTATTATTGTTTAATCTCCTTTTTTTGTTACAGCCTCTTCCTACACTATTATATTTGGAGTGTTCTAAGGCTCAGTGCTTGGACTTCTCATTTCTCTTTATGTTCATTTCATTGATGTTCTCACCAAGTCTCAAATTTAAATTTCTAGTCCAGAATTATCTCTCAACTACCTCCTTTTTGTTTTCATTCATATTTCTAATATATATCTTAAAAATAACATCTAGATTTTCTCCCACAAAAACTATTCCATAGCCTGCCTTCCCATCTCTATTGATAGGATTACAGTCTTTCATTTGTTCAAGGCCAGAAACTTTGCTGTCAAAAGCTATTGCTCTCTTTCTCTCACATTCTACATCTCTTCTGTTAGACATTCTGTTGCTGTAGTTTCAAAATACATGTAGAATATGATTACTTCATACGTTATGTACTACTGAGCCATCATTATGTTTTACTGGATAGTATAATAGCCTTTCCCCTGTATTCTTGCCTCTCTATGATCCATTCTGAACACATCAAACAGGGATTCTTTTAAAGCATAAGTCAGATTCTGACCCTTCTCTGCTGAAAACCAGCAGTGCCTACTTATTTCCCTCAGAATATGAGCCAAAGTCCTTGCAAGACCCTGGGAGGGCCTCTGTGAACTGACCTTCCAGCACTTCCTCTGTCTGCTCTCCTACTCTCCCATTTACTTATGTCATTCTAACCCTGCTTGCCTCCTTGCTGGCCCTTGAGTGTGCCATGCTCCTGCCTTAGCATACTTAGTTCTTTTTCAAATCAACTATATCACTTTTTATAGTTTCTAGCTCCCTGTAAAATTGGCAAACTTAACTCTTACCTCAAAAAACTATGGTTAAGTATGGCAGTTTTTTCAGTCTGTTTCCACGAAGACAGATTTCTAGATTCTTCATGTCTCATTTGTCTCTTATTATTACTGCTTATTCTTACATTGTCTTACCTCTTTGTTTCTCTGAATCTCATTGTGTGTTGGATAGTGTACTTGAAAGTTTATTTATAGAAATTGTTTAAGGCCTCAGATGATATTGTCTTCCTATAGAAAGTCTTTTCTTTGATTCTGTTAGATACCAGAAACTCTAGCAAAGAAGGATTACCTTAATTTAAGTTAAGGTTCTAAGATAATTTTTTTCTTTTTTTCTTTTTTTTTTACACAATTTTTAGATGATTTGAGCCAGGCTGAAGACCATACCATGTAAGGTTTTCTGGATCACTCTCACTCCTGGGTCTCCATCTATTCTTGGCTCTGGAGACTGACTTTTATCTCCCTACACCTCAGCGACTGTCAAAACTTTGGACCAACTTCTCAAGCAACTCATCATCATTTGCAAACATCCCCAGGGCGAAAGTCAAATGCCTAACTCAGATTACTATTGTCTCCTGATCTTGCCCCCAAATTCTTCACTCTTATTAGTTCATCAATGTTTTTAATAAAGTACGAGTATTTTCCAATATGTTGCTCAATTTTGTTATTGTCTATTATGGAGGATTACTTTGAGTTCTCTAGCCACCATTCTTAGAGGTAGAAATCCACATAAGAACTTTGTACTTTTCCGTCTCGTTTGAATGCTTTTTATCTTGATATCAACAGAACCAGCTTTTTTACCTCCTTCAAATCTTTGCTCAAATATCACCTTCTCTAGATCATCCTTTTAAAATTATAAACCATCACCACCCTCGACCTCCTTAACATTTGGCTGGTCCAAAACATGGTGTTTGGCAAAAGCAAAGATTTCCTTTGGAAGAATATTGTACCCTAGGCTTCAGATTATTTCTACTCATCTTTTTTATTGCACGTGTCACCTTCTAACATATGATGTAATTTACTTATTTATTATTTTATTGTTTATTTTCTCTTGCTGAAATGTAAGCTCCCAGGGGCAGAACATTTTTGTCTCTTTTGTTCACTGATAAGTCTGAAGGGTGCAGAACAGTTCATGGCATACAGCTGATACATAATATATATTTAATAGATGAATGAATTAAATAGTCATCTCATCTCAGAAAATTGAAAAACGGGCCTACAAGAAAAAAAAATGGAAGCTTACCAAGCAGTGTTTAATGCCCATTGGAAGGTGATTATCATTCATTTATAATGAAATAAATTATCTTGGCTGAGAGTTTCCCCAGTAATATTTGCCCAGGGTTTTGTTGTTGTTGTTGGTGGTGGTGTGTGTGTGTGTGTGTGTGTGTGTGTGTGTGTGTGTGTGTGTGTGTGTGTGTGAGGTTTTCATAAGGAGAGAGAGGGGCAATAGAAATTAAGGTATTAAGTGACTGAGAATATGAAATAAATGTAAGCTAAGAGGTAATAAAGCCAGAATGGAGCTGGTAAGGTAAGGGTCAATGATTTTGAAGTCTCAATGAGGCTGAGGCTGAAGAAATGTTGCATTAGGGATATTTGAGAAATGAAGATGGTGGATAGGAGGTAGAGTTCTCAGAGTAAAGTGTTATAAAGTTTAGAGGTTTCTTATTTTATATGTGAAGGCAAAGTACAGGAATGGTCCTGGAAATTAATGATTGAAATGGAGTGGATGAGAATATCTTTGTAGATGAGCAGCTCAAAAAATTGAGAGAATAGAGACTTTTATGGGAATTTTGAAACAGCCAAAAATTGCGTAAGAAAGCTTTATGATCCGTGAATGGACATCATCAATAAATAAGGGAAAATTTACCAGAAAGTCAATAGATAACAGCAATAAAAGCAATAATAAAGTGATGCAGTTTAATAAAATAATTTTCAAAGGAACAGGGGATTTAGTATAGAAAAGAGACAGTAATGATTAGAAAGTCTTAATAGGAAAAAAAAGAAAAGGTGAACACTTGCCCAGAACTTAAATCTTTTAGTATTTTATTGATTATCTCAGTAGTATAATTATTTTTATTTTCATACAGACTCCTACAACTGTTCCGAGAGCAGCTGGTCGAGAAACCAAATATGTAAGTCCCTTCATATTTATACATACTGCTTTTTTAATGGGTGCATGTATATGCTTGGAGGCACCTCAATTTCACAGTCATTTAAATTAGTTTATTTCTTTCTTAAGTGGGAAGTGTAGGATGGTATGATCAATCCAGATGGGGAAAATCATGTTATGTCAGGTAAGTTTATTGAATAAACTCCTTTTTAAGTGAGGTCTAGTTCGATTACTTTGGCTAAGTAAAACAGAACTTTAACACCTGCTTTCTGTCTTTCTAATTATCAAAGCTTAGATGACATTTTTATTTCTGTAATGGGTTATTATGCTTATTATTCAATAGTCAACTCATATACTTGAAACACTGATTTATTCATTTTCAACGGGGATTGTCAGTTTAGTTCATTTTGACTAGTTTGTTGCTTTCTTGCATTTAAATTATTATCAAATAAGCCAATTCCAACTTATGAGCAAAAATAGATTAATAATGAATGTGTAATATAGATTCACACACTTAATCCAATTAAATACAGGGAGCTGAATATCCTACACACACACACACACACACACACACACACACACACACACACACACACAGCCTCACCCCATCCCTACTCTTTATTCATCTAATTACCTATCATGTGGCCAACTTCTACTTCTGACCAAACATATAATATAAAACATATAAGATTTTCTCCTAAGCAAGTGTTTAGTTTTTAGTTCAATAAAGACCATTAAACTACTACTTTTATACTATACATTATATTTTCTAATATGTAGCCTTCATCATTGTCATCAAGAGTAAGTAGGTGTTAAATTTATATTTTGTGACATATGTTCTTTGCAATTTATAGTTTTCTGACGTCATTTGAATCTCTGTAAGGCAAATAATAAACTGAGTGAAATTACTGCATTTTATCACACTCGGGAAATGATGTTTAGAGGGCATGGGTAGGAACACTGCTTAGAGCATTTCTTAGAAGCTTTCGCTGTTATTTTTTGTTATTACTGGAAGCTGTTTGGAGTAATACTTGAAAGACTGGAGGCATTTGGAAAGCTATACTCAAGTTTACATCATAGTGTTGCTGTTTGGTAACTGTCTGATTCTGGAAAATCACTTAACCTCTCTGTGCCTTTGTTTTTCCATATATAATATTGGGATACTAGTAACCTTATTTGGTTGATGTAAGGCTTAGATTGGTTAATGTATGAAAAGCCCTTAATGTAGTTCTGGCACACAAATCGCTTAATAAATAATTGTTCTTCCTTTTCTTCCTCCTCCTGCCCTCTTGGTTTTCCCTTCATCACTGCCTCTTCCCTTCTTTTCCTCCTATCTACCGTAGAAAGACTAGAAACATGATAATTTCACTGAGTTCCTTAATGCATCAGTTGAATTCAAGAAAAGAAAGTGTATTAAAGATGTTTCTATACTTTTTGTGACTAATACATTCTACAAGAGCCAGATCCAGGAAAAAGTAGCTAGAATTTTTTTTTTCTCTCTCTCACTTTTCTTTCTCATCTACTCCTACTTTTCACCAGAGTGCCTCTGATTTAGACTCATTTACAATATGGGGCAGAGGGCTGATGCCTCTTCCCACCCTTCCCTATTGGTGGTTAATTTGATAGGAGTTGGAATAATTCTAGAGGAGCTGTTTCATGCTCCATAGTTAGTAGTCATTTCAAATTATTCTTCAATCAGTTGTCAGACCTAATTAAAGTAGGTTAACATTTGTCCCAAACTTTGTGAGAGTGTTCGAGTCACTCAAAGTTTACATTGAATCATCAAACAGATTTAGTATAGACTAGAACAAATATAAACTGTGAATTCAGCTAAGATTTTTGTCTTTTATTAAATTTGGTTTCTTGATCCGAGAGGCTTTGCTTTTTACTTTCTCTTACAAATGACATTTGAATTGTTAGTGACACAAATATGTTCATGTTTTTTGGAAGACTATATGGGATAATTTTTCAGGTGGAAGGTAAAAACTGTTTCTTTGGTGCCAACTCATGGGTTAATCATGCTTATAAATGTTTGGCTGCAGTTATTACATTTACTAAATGATGCCTGATACATTTGTGAATCTGAGACGTCTACAGACTTTAACATTTCAGTATTCCACCATCTCTCTTCAAAACTGAGGAAAGTAGGCATCTTTACAGTATGTATCTGCTGGGACTCAATGTGTCATTGACTTTGTAGAGATTCTTAGATTAGACTAAAAGCAGGGATCACATCTTTACCAACTCCTGCACCGCAGAGGAAAAAGGGAAGACTTAAATTAGATCCAAGAAAAAAAGTTTTGAGGATATCCTTAACAGATTAGCACAGGCCATTCAAAATCCCTATTTCTGGGTGCTTTTAAAAATATATAACTTATAAATCATGACTAATAGGAACTCCAGTCAGTATTGTCTAGCTCCAATATTCATTTTTCTGATTTTCTTCATTGATTTGATAAATAGTGTGTGTCTGCCATGTCCCAGCGCTCACTGAGAAGTCAGTGAGATGAGACAGAGGAACACAAGGTCCCCATTTCTTTTTCTTTTTTTTTTTAAAGATTTTTATTGGGGAATTGGAGGGATGGGAACAGCGCTGCGTAATTGAGGGAAGGAAAACAGACAAGTTTCTGTCCTTTTTTGTTCTTTAGTCTAGTTGTGGAGGACTTCGCTTCATAGGCCCAAGCTGGCACCATCATTGCACTCTTCCCAGGCGAGGCAGATCAGTCGCCAGCTTCTGGACAGCCACTCATGGTGGCTGCTGGCCGCTCACGCTGGCTGCCGGCCACACACGGTAGCCCATGGCAACCCACTGTAGCAGGGGCTACAGCCTACGCCGTCGCTGGCGACCCACGGCAGCCCAGCTCCAGGTTGAGCTGTTGCTCAGCATCTTAGCTGCAGAGGGCAGTGTCACTGGCCCTCATATGTGGTATCCGAACTGGGGCCCTCTGGCATCCCAAGCCAGCTCTTAACCAACATGGCACTCGGCTGGCCCAAGGTCCCCAGTTCTTAAGCATACAATGGGGAGACAGTAAACAAAATAGTCAATGAGCAAGATACTTTCTTGTAGAAATTAGAAGAGAGCTGGTCAGATAACTGGTTGATGTTAAGCTTACAAAGTTACTAGTTTTCAATATATTAGTATGTCCTTGGGTTTTCCAATTTTCCTGGGATGATTATAATGATTTAATTAAATAATGAGAAATTGTTTGACTAATTCCTATTTGTGGGGCCATTGGTGTCAGGCTGACTTTTCTCTATTAAAAAAAAGAAAAGAAAACCAATACAAAATAGTTTCTTTTTCTTACTCTTTATTGTACATATTGTTACATGTTACATAGTCTGTTTTTAGGATGCGCCAGAAGAAAAGTACCAGTATTTCATACTAATTAAAGTTAAAATTTTCTTCAATTCATGGTGTACTTGAATTGCACATTATTTTAAAATACAGTTGACCTTTGAACAACATGGGTTTAAACTGTGCAGGTGCTCTTATATGTAGATTAAAAAAAATAAATACAGTAAGTGTATTTTTCTCTTCCTTATAATTGTCTTAATAACATTTTCTTTTCTCTAGCTTGTTTCATTGAAGAATACAGTATATAGTACATATAACATAATGAAATATGTGTTAATGGACTGTTTATGTTATCTGTAAGACTTCCAGTCAACAGTCGGCTATTAGTAATCAAGTTTGGGGGGAATCAAAAGTTATGTGTGGATTTTTATTGCACAGGGTGTTGGTGCACCAACCTCCTCATTTTTCAAGGGTTGAATGTGATTTAATTTAGGTTCTCTTAAGTGTAATAGAATTTAAACTAGTCTAACAACATGTTGAGTGATCTCCACAGATCACTTGTGGGATTGATTTTAGTAATTTATCACCAATATTTTACTGGATTGTTTTTAACAGAAGTCAAATTCCATAATAATTATAACTAATATTTTAAGTTCCTATCTTTCAAATGAGGTTTAACTATCTCATTTAACCTTACATCAATCCTCTGAGGTGGATATCATTACAAAATCTCCATTTTACAGAGTAACTAACTGAGCCTCAGAAGTCATAGTAAGCAGCAGCAACGCAGGTCTTCCACATATCAAAGCCCCTGCCGTTAATACTTGTGTGAACTTACAAAGCTGGGAATCATTTATTTACTTTAAGTATTTTATCAATAGTTATTATTCTCTGGGTCTAAATTATTTCTTTATGCCCAATAACCATCAGTCTAACTTTGAGTGAATAATTTCATATTTGGTGACAACATCTAACTAAGGTGATAATGTTTTACTATATTTCTAATGTTTTGAATCACTTGCTTATATGTAAATTAACTCATTATCTATCAGATACTGTATGAGTGATTATTCCTCATGACACTCATTTTTAAAGAGTTTCTTTCCCCTTATGTAGAGAAATGAGTTTTCTATTTAAATTTCTATTTCATTCTGTTTCACTCTATCATCTTCAGAGGGGAATATCATGTTTTTCTTTGCATTACATGTGTCTTTGTAAATGTTTATTATCTTTTATTGAGTACTACCAGTTTAAATTCATTTCATTTATGTAATTCAAAACCATAGTATGCTTTCTTAATAAAGAGAAACCTCAAAAATAGGGCAAGTATTTGGACCTATTACTAATTTATAAAAAAACAAACAAACCAAAAAACCCACAAAATCCTTAGTTGGAATCACATTCTATTGATAATGACTTATTTCTTAAACAGTCTACCTTTAACAAGTTACTTTTAAGTGCCAGCAGAATAACGAAGACAAGTATATTGAATATTATATAGTGTACAGGTAAGATCTCATTTTAATGAGCTCGAGGAACAGAAAAATGTCATTACAACTACATACATATTGCTTTCAAAATATCACAATATGTTAAAAAGTGTCAAACTTTATTAAAAATATTCCCCACTATATGTACAGACATTCAAATAAAGGTCATCGTCTCCAATTTAGCCAGCTCACAAACTCCCCTTGTTGCTATGCTTGAAAATGTTGCTAGGCTGGGTT